AATGCATGATATAGGTCCAAAAGTGGGATGTTTTTAGGTGTAATATAGCAGGCCAGCACATTGTTTTGGAAGGTTTCCTTGTGTCAGGGTTGGTTGGAGGAGAACTGGTCTGTCTGGCTGGGTGATACTCTTCCATAGGGCCTTGGTGTACGCTGATGTAATAGCCTGTTTCTACAGCAACCCCACGCAGCGCCCTGACCTGTGTAAGCAGCGCGCCTGCGCACAACCTTGGCGAGGCACTGACCCAGTTTCTCTACCGTCTTCTCCCACACATACACACTTTAACATGCGCTCACACTTGCAACTCATTCGTATGTACATGCACTCGCTCACCCAGGAGCAGCACAACCAAAAACATCCTCCATCCTCACACATGTATGGCAGCCGTTGGTCACACATGCACGGCGCGCTCTGGAGGAAGGGAGAGCTTTTATTTATTTCCCTGGGTAACACAGCACTTGATAAATAAATATATTATTTACATAAATATATGATAAAAATAAATAAATATTATTAAAATGTTATTTTAATGTGTTTTTTTCTTTTATAGAAAATATTATATAATAAAATATTACATTTTTAATGTGTAATGTTTTGTTGTTTTCATATACATTGTAAAGTACAGTGCTTTAGACTTTTGATAATTCTTTCAGTTCTATTCACATATACACTACCATTCAAAAGTTTGGGGTTGATAAGATTTTTTTTATGTTTCTGAAAGAAATCTCTTATGCTCACCGAGGCTGCATTTTTTTTATCAAAATACAGTAAAAACAGTAATATTGTGAAATGTTATTGCTGTTTAAAAAAAAATCAGTTTTAATATATTTTAAAATGTAATTTATTGCTGTGATGCAAAGCTGAATTTCCAGCAGTCATAAATCCTTCAGAAATCATTCTAATATGCTGATTTCTTTTCAAGAAAGGAATATTATTGGTTAATGTTGAAAACAGTTGTGCTGCTTAATATTTTTGTGGAAACCATGATGCATTTTTCCCCAGGATTCTTTAATGAATAGATACTTCAAAAGAACAGCATCTATTTATCCTTGCACACATACAATAACAGGGCTTCAGACAAAAACATCGAGTAAGGAGCCATTGGCTCCTATAAGAAAAAAACTTAGGCGCCAAATTATTTTTTCATTCATACGGTCATGTGTTTATGTCTCATCTTTTCTTGACTTTATCAGCATTTTAATCCATCTTGTAGATGACCTGGGAACTAAGGTTCACTTAAAGTGGGAACTTAATGTCTTTTTCAACTTGAAATATACAGTCACAAAGAATTGTTCATTACACATAATCTGTACCAATGTCGTGGACCATAAGCATCACTTGGCCACTGAGTGTAGTTTGAGCTCCTCCTCAATGCATCCTGTAAATGTTGTCATACACTCTTAAAAATAAAGGTGCTTCACGATGCCATAGAAGAAACATTTTTGTCTAAATGGTTTCATAAAGAACCTTTAATATCTGAAGAACCTTTACATTTCACAAAAGGTTCTTTGTGGCGAAGGAAGGATCTTCAGATTATAAAAAAATTGAGAAAGAGATGGTTCTTTAAAGAACCTTTGACTGAATGTTTCTTTGTGGAACCAGAAATGGTTCTGTGAAGAACCTTTTACTTAACCTGTTGTCTACATGATTCAACTCCTCCTATAAAATTGTGTTTTACTAATTAAGAAAAACAGACTGAAAGTGTGAAAGACATACACTCTTAAAAATAAAGGTGCTTAAAAGGTTCTTCACAGAACCATTTCTGGTTCCACAAAGAAACATTCAGTCAAAGGTTCTTTAAAGAACCATCTCTTTCTCCATTTTTCAAACTGATGAGCTTATGGAGACCGAATGGTTATTCTGAGGTAAATGTATAAAACGTTGCAATGTTTACAAACTTTACACGTTTTTTGCAGTTTGAAACACTGAATGAGCTTTTAACTTACTTGAGTAAGTTGTACTGTAGGCTCTCTTATAAAATAGCCTACCTTTTGATGTTAACTCATGTTTATTATGTAGCTAAAGATTAAATGGATTCACTTGCCGCTTGAACTGAGGCGCTAAAGCATTCGTGCCTTAAAGAGTGCCAAAACTGTATTTATTGTTTGAATTTCGTTATGAATTTGGAATAATTTTAAAGCTGATACTTTGTTTTTAAAAAAGTAACAAAGCACAAAGCTTTTTGCGATTACTGGACGGCAAGTGCGCTTCAAATAATAAGTTCACGCTTTAACAGAACACAGCATAGACTAAGATCTTGTTAAGAAGAAGCCATATTAGTAATGATTATAAACTAGAATTGTTAATGATATTGCCAATATCCACACAACTGACAGCTTTACCTGTTGTAGTTTGTTCAAGTTGTGCACGAAATAGACGCTGCTTTTCTGCACTTTCACTTCGCACGTCTTTGTCATTTCGTTCTCTCTTGCGCTGTACAACTGAGCTGCGTTTAGCAGACTGTGTACGTCAGTGCTGCTGTGCGGCAGAGATGAGGACTGTTTGAAACTCTTTTTTCCACTAAAACCTTGATGCGCACACATCGTCTCAGTTTAATATGTGAACATAACAAAATATGTGATCGCAAAACAATCAGGAAAAAAGGCATTACATGCAAATTGAAGTTATAACATGTAAATATATATAGTCGCCAGTGGCGACCTCAGCAAAAACTTCAGTCGCAAATTAATATTTTTGGTCGCAAATGCGACTGTTTTAGTCACAGTCTGCAGCCCTCAACAACATTACGTTGGTGTACGACACGCACTCACACACACGTTTCTGTAGTCTTTATGTGTTGAAGAATAAACATTGGCCACTGAAACTCCCTTATTCTGTGTCTTTAGAATCCTTTCATTTCTGTCAAATCTTTTCAATTACTTTTAGCACGGTACACGCCTTCAGTTACAGCGCTTTTTCACCTTGCCATCGCTGATCTTTTGTTTTTGACTGGATGATAAATGGGATCAGATCTGAAGCCTTTGCATTCCATTGATATCTAACATTACTTCACCATAGCCCCTGACCATCTGTCTTTCTCTCTCCTATTCAGCCTCTCTTTCTTTCAGTGTCTCCTCTCAGCTTGATAACCCATGTGCATCATAAGCCTTTGAGGAATGCCTGCTAGTGCAGTGACTGTATGCAGCCCAACCCTTGTTAACCCTTGTCTGTGTAAAAGTGTGCGTTTTAGCCTCGCTCTGGTTCCAGGCCACCCACAGTTTGTCCCTGAGTGCACCTAGTCTCCCCTCGCCCAGCATTCCTCCTTTCAACTGCAGAATCCTCTGCCTCTATCAGGTGGCAGAACGCTGAGACCGCTAAATCGGGGTTCAGGGGCTGTTTGTGATCATAGTGCTCTTTGAGCATCATGAATTATTCAGGGCCCAAGTCCTTGCAGAATGCCCACTCGGCCCCTGTGCCAAACTTGACCAATTCAAGGCTTTGTCTTAAAAACATCATAACAGAGCAGTAGCAGGCTGGCTTTTTTCTTTTGTTTATTTTTTTTCCCGAGTGCAGTTGGTTGTTCATGTGCCAACAGAAGAAGGGAGAGCCGCACTGTAAAAAAAAAAAAA